ATTTCTGCTTCCAGAAGGTATTTGCGACGAGATTTTAAGTTCATTGGAAGTGGAGTTGGAGGTACCACTCGAGGTTTGCAGTCTTCTGCTTGGGGTTGCTACTGGTCTTCCAGTAGCAGAAAGTTTTGTTTGTTTTTTATTAAAATTTAAATTTTCCATATTGATGGGTCCCAACTCAGGTCCGCTATCTCCACCCGACGTGTAGTTATCTTTTAAAAAGCCCCATGGGTCCCTTTGAATCAGTGAGGTCCATGTGAAGGTTGATGTATAGCCTTATGAGCATATACATTCAGAGCCAGGCAGATATTAAGAGGGAGCTTCGCTCAACCTCACCTACACCACCAACTAAACGGCGACGGATATTGAGCGCTTCCTGAGGTCAGCCACGATTTTAACGGGACGGAGGCAGCCTCAGCATTAGCCTGAAAGCCATTTCTGCAGAGTTTCACCTCTACATACTGAGGTAACAGAATACTGAGACTGTCAGCCCAGGGTTCAGACAATTTATAATTCAGACAATTCAAAATCATACAATCAGTGTCAGTATAGCCAAGGTTGTTGCCGTTGAAGCCATATTGGCCGTAAAGGCCGTTGGACAGAATTTTTGCTCCGCAGTAGCCAATCCGACAAGGGAAGCCCTTAAGGACCTGAAGAATCCGTCGGTATAGCCTAGTGCATCATTACCTCTGTTGTCCCCAGAGACCTCACGCCGATGAATCAGAGCAAACTCCAATTCTTAGCTAGAACAGTCTGCAATCAGAACTCTCTATTACCAGTCGACACCCACGGGGAGGGTTAGGCAGAGGATTTTAGTTTTTTTGAACTAAAATGGAAAGTATTAAATCTCAATTCTATGTTTTTGAACTAAAGTTGCAGTACGTAACAATGTGTGCAAATGACTAATGCGCAAACTCGGATAAAATTTGCCGGTTTTATGAAGTTATTAATCCTGACATATCAAAATACGTGTACTTTTAATTCAAATATATTTATAGGAATGTAAAGCATTTTTATGGTTGCATATAAATATCTTGTTTTAAAATGATGTGTAATTAATTTTATTTTTTAAATAGTATTGTATCTAAACGTATTACGAGGGCGGTTTGATAAGTCAGGGAGTTTTCGAATAAAACCAATTTTTTTCGGCAAATAAACATTTTTCTACATAATCACCTTTTAGCTCGATACATTTAGTCCAGCGTTTTTCTAATTTTCTTATTCCCTCCAAATAAAAGGTTTTCTCAAAGCTCTCAAAATACTCGTTTGTTTCGTTAATGACTTCTTCATTCGACTCAAATCTCTTACCGCCCAGCTATTTCTTTAGAAACAGGAATTTCTTTGGAAACAGAAAATAGTCGTATTATTTGAAAAAAAATGTATGATAAATTCGAATATTTATCTAGATATAACATAATAATTTCAATAATTAATTAAAACAATGACCAAATATTTTTAAAATTAATTTTGTTTTCTCAAATTTTTTAATATGTATTTTATTTTTTATATATTAATTTTTCAATTAATATAATTTTTTATGTATCACCTTTTATCATAATTATAATTATAATTTATATGGTCTTATCGGATTCTCTAATTAGTATATCCATGCTTATTTATCTTCTGGCACTTGATTTTTTTGTAATTAATTTATCCTTTTACTTATAATTGGTCACTTTAATTGGATAATTTTATTTTATATAAGTTACTATATATTAATATTTTTTATTACATTCGGAAAAACCATATGCTATGAAGTGTTAGTTACACGCGTAGTACTTACTTACTTATTTATTAATTGGTACGAATATTCACAATCCCAATGTTTCATCCATTCATTACAAATAAATGAGTGTTTGAGAGGAGTCAATTATTTACATGTTATGGGAAGGAATGCATAAAATGCAGAAAAGAATATTTTATTAATATTTATAGAAGAATCTGTTACCATTTGGACTCGTATTTACACTTAAACGCCTTCCTTTACCATCGTTGTCCTTGCGCTTCTGCAGCTGTTTGCATACAATAAATTGCTCCATCGTCTGTATTTTATTATCCGTCGGAACTATATTGTTCACATTTTTATCAGGCTTACCTTCATACAGAGGACATTGTCTGAATCTCTTCATATATTAAAAATAAAATTGAAAATAAGATTAGTCATTCAAATAATTTATCGTTAGAGATGGAACCTGTGAAAAACATTTAAAGAGTAAGGTAGTAAGATACATATTGCTAAAAAAAGTAATTTGTTATAAGTCATTTATTTATATTATCAAAAAAAAAATTTAAATGCAGGTGTATTGTTTAAAATCTACTTTTGGTTAATTTATTTATTTATTATTTTCTAATTTTAATTTTACTAAAAAGAAATAGACATTGCAATGTAGTTTAAATTTTGCGCATATAATAGATATATTTTCTATATTCAATAGATTTGGTATGTAGACTATTAATGTTAAGAACTTGATTAAAACGGTCGTTCTCAGCTTTATGTCGCCAATATAGAAACTAAATGCAGGGAATGATTAAAATTAAAATTTGAAGCTTTATTATTCAATACAAAAGACATAATTCGTTGTTTTCAATGATATTGATGTAGTTACAGCTATCTATATACATTTATATATAAATACATATATATGTATTTACTAAGTGAATTGATGTTGCCTGACTTAAAACAGATGACAAAGCCACAACAAAATTAATTATATTTTGTGTATCTGGCAAGTTTTAAACGACAGTTGTAAAAATTTTGACTTCATCAGATGTTGGGTTAGCTTTTTACAAATAATTAAAATAGTGCGTAATTTTCGTAATTTTTTGCAGTCTCAAAAAAAAATTATTTACGAATAATTATATACAAGAATTATTTCCAAGATCACTGAGATCACTATTTGGCAATACTCGAAATAGCTGTATGGTCAGCCAAAAATTCAATTAATTAAAATACTATAAAAAATAAAATTTTTGTTGTTGTATTTCACTACTGTTCAAAAAAACCTCTTTACGTGATTTTTTATAAAATGAAAAAAAATCGAATATTTAGTTCAGTAATAAAATTCATCCATTTGAAAGCAATGAACAATGATGCAATCAAATTGGAAATGGATTTTGAAACGGCAACATTAAATTGCTTCCTCACTCACCGTATTCTTCAGATTTGGCACCCAGTGATTATTATCTGTTAACAAACTTGAAAAGATAGCTCCAGGGAAAGAGAGTTGCATCAAATGATGTAGGTAGTTGAATAGGAAAGTGTGGTATATTTTGGAGGACTTGATGAATCGTATTATTTGAAAGGTATCCAAATGTAGAAAGATCGTTGAATTCGGTATGTCTTAAGCTCGACTGCTTTAATATAGGGGACTATATTAAAGCATAAAATATTATTTCCTAAAAATAATGCTTAGAACGGGTATTGATATATATATATATAATAACTTTAATGTAAAAATACCATTTAAAATGCTTAAACTGATTATAGTAATAATTTACACTTCAATAGATTAAATATAACATATTTATTGAAATTAATTATATATATAAAATTATATATATTAAATCGAAATTATTCACTACGTTCGACTTATTCTCTATTGCTTTCAGTTTTTTCTCAAAAATTGAATTTACAGTTGTTAGAAAAGATGAAGCTATCTATTCTTATACACGTGTCTACTTGTTTCGATTTAGGCGCGATAATACCGATTTCAGGACTCAAGTTCTGGAACTTGACCCAAACATATATAGTCCATTTATAGATATATCTATAGTGGAAATACCTTTCCGTACATCATCCCAATTTTCATGTCGTCACATCGTCGTAATTACAGTCAATTTCTGCTATTCGAATGTATATGAATGTATAACTATGTTGTCATTAATTCTGTAACAGCAACATCTAACGCAAAATTCAAAAGATTTTTCTTTGCACATTTTCTTGGCGTTATATTGTTTAAAAAACGATTATCGAATCTGAATTATATACTGCAAGTAAATAAATGTGGAACTCAGCAACTGGTTCAATAGTAATAGGTTTAATGACATTATATTGTTTAAAAAACGATTATCGAATCTGAATTATATACTGCAAGTAAATAAATGTGGAACTCAGCAACTGGTTTAATAGGTACGTCCGTAACGGCGCCATAACTTTGTTACTCGGCGATTTCAATATTAAAGTAGGCTCCGATAATTCCAACGTGGAGCGCTATAACCTTCACGCCTGTTGAAACCTGTAAACAAAAATGGCGTTGGATTAGGTATATGCTTCACAGACTGAACGAAACCATCGTCAGTCAAGGACTTCGATGAAATCCTCAAGACAGAGGTCCACGTGTCGGCGCACCAGGAAGACCATTTAGAAGATCAATTCAATCAAAAATGGAAGCTGCAAATTACTTCTGGAATGAGCCTTGAATCACGTATCAGCCTTGAATCACGTAATAGAGTTCACTATAAGATGATGTTCGACGCTCTATGCTCCACTGGGAGATGAGGATAACAGAAGAAGAAGAAATAAACATAGCAACAAATATTTGGAAGACTTATATGTAAAAGTGCTTTAACAATTATTTATATAAATGCAAATAACAGTTATCAATCTTCTTCAAAAGCAATCGTAATTCGAACGTTTGTATGACATCCCACATGACATATCGATCTATTCATCTTGATTTATGAAGGCGGCTTTAGAGTAATTATTTAGCTTTCCAATATTTTTAGTTTATATAAAACCTATTTCAGTATAAAAACCATTCTCAACAATATAAAAATGATCCAAGGATTATGCACGTCTCTTAATCCGGAAAGACTTTTCACTACATGGTGGTTATACTTTAACGTGTAATCGCTTACGTGTAACACATAGAAATGAATTATTTTCTTATTAAAACTTCGTTAAGTGATTATTGTGAATGCACAAAAATTGACATACATTTTGTTTCCGGCACAACTTTATTTCTTAGCTTAGACTGATTTCAAAAGTTTGCACTTTTTTAACGATGGAAGGAAATAAAGTTGTTAACTTTGGAACCGAAAAAGTTACAAATGAATTTTTGAAGTTAGGTGATACCAACTGGATTAATGCTATGCGCAATGCTATATTAGGTAATCCTGACTTGTTCAAAAATAAGTTGGTACTTAACTTGAACTGTGGTCTTGGCCTTTTCGCAATCTACGCTGTGCAGGCGGGTGCATCCCATGTTTATGCTGTTGACAGTGGAGGTGTTCAGATTTATACCCGTCGTGTTATTAAAGAAAACAAATGTGACGAACGTGTTACTGTCATCGAAGGTGATGTGGAACAAATGGAGTTGCCTGTAGAAATGGTCGACGTAATCTTATGTGATTGGGTGGGAAATGCATTAATATATGGTGCCCACGCAAAGCAAGTGATTTATGCACGTAACAAGTGGTTACAAAGTAATGGATTAATATTTCCAGATATTGCACGTATTTTTGCACGTCTAGCGTCAGATTTTAAAACTGTTGAAAATGGGGGCAGTGTCATTGGTAGTGATCTTGGATGTTCAATGAATTCAATGTTTCAGGATTCAATTGATACTGTCTGGTACTATGCTATGCCAAAAGAAAAGGTAATATTTGTAATATAATAATGACAGTTCCAGTGGATAATTAAAAATTTTAGATCCGTAGTACAGGAGCACTGATTAAAGCAATAGATTTGAATACTGCTGAAGTTCAAGATCTTGTTTTTCACACAAGTTTGATTATGGAAACATACTCAAACTGCAATATTAACTCCATTGTGCTTTCTTACATGGTGATGTGTAGTAAAGCTGCATTTTACTATAATACCGATCCTGTCAATATATATGGACAATTCCTGCAATCTGTTTCATTTTTCAAAAGATCAAATTCTGTAGCAGCTGGATTATCTATTCATGCTGAAATAGCAATGACAGATGTTGAAAACAGTGATTATAATACTCGATTGCCAAAATTGAGGTGCCAATTACTTGATATTAATTCGCATGGAATACAAGCACTAAACGGAGGTTCCTGGTGTGTAGGACCTTATGCAAGAAAAGAAAAATCGAAATATTTCGACAATAACTTTTACATTGACTTGCTTTGGCCACAATTTGTTCGATTTGATGCTGTGCGTATAGCACAAGAATTAAAATTAAAGAATGATCGGGCACTTGATTCTATGCGAAATGTAACTGGTTCCTCTAATGGTCAGATTTCATCATCTGTAGAAGATTTGGAGGTTATGACAGACTGAAATAAAATGGATAAGCTTTGATATCAAATAAAAAATTTGCTGAAACAATTTATTTAAATTAATAAATATAATAAAATACTCATTATTTTGCTTTGCAAATATTATTAATAAATAATTAATAACTAGTTTTAATAATTAATTATTTCAAGCAGAATTAGGTTTTAAATTGGTTATTGAATATTTTGAGGACTATGACATACAAAAAAAAATGTTTAAATTTAACAATAAATTTTCCAAGTTTATTCTCCATTTCAAGTACTGTAGGTTAGTATTTTTGTTCTTGGAATCACTCACTTTTTTGTCTGTAATAAGTGTTTTTAGTTGTGGTCCTGTTAACTAGTACTTTTGTAATATTTTATCCAATTATTATGATATAAGTTACCACTTTTTTCCGTTTTCAATACTGTGAGTTGGTACTTTTATTTATTTATTTTTTGGCTCTGTTTGAAATAATTTTTTTGATCACATATCGTATGTTTTTGATGCTGTTGGGTGGCACAGTGATTTTTGTTTATTTAAAAATATATAAATATATTTAATATATATTGAGATAACTTCATCATTTAACGTTTATGCAGGCGAAATGAAGAGGCTTACTTTATAATTGAAATGAATTCACTTTGGTAAAATTAATATATAGATATATAATGTTATAGTTTAAATTATTAAATTAATTAATTAAGTAAATGAGGATTTTTCATTTTGTATTTCTGCTTCATTTATATATATATAGCGAATATTTAAATTGATTGTATCGCAAAATATCTTAAAAGTGTTCATCATAAGCGTAGTTTGATGAAGAGTAAATACTTTCCCTCGAGTTCACTCGAACTTACTTTGAATCTTATCATTTTTGAAGTCTAATTTATTTGTGTACTTAGTTTTTTACGTCTAAGCCAATAAAACTATAAAAATAGTTTTATTGGCTTAGACATGTAGACCTTCAAAAACTTCTACACTGTTTACTTCTTATATGCTCTGCCTTCCACTGTGTTGTGAGTTAAATATTTATTTTATTTAATTTCACGGGTTTTTGGCAGTTTTTCTGTATGGTAGTGTGTACGATCTTAGGTGATCGTACATTTCCCTAAAAATAGGCAAGGTTATTTGCATCTGGGCAGTTGTTGACTAGAACCACAGACAAATAATTATTTGTCTGTGCTAGAACCAAAGCAGCAGACCGTCAGTTCGACGATAAGAAATGCTGAGTTTTGGTATTTGGTTAATAATTGGTGTCACGATGTAAGTGACTTTGAAATTGTAAATACGGAAGAATTGCAAAAATATGTAGAGCATTCTTATTAATAATAAAAACTTTGCAAATTTAGCAAAGTAAATTATGAAAACTATGAATAAACCCAATTAGGTAACTAGGGTAATTTGAAGGTCATATATTGGATTTTTGCATCAAGTTTGGGTATATAAGATAGATGTAAAACCACAAAGATAGATAGTCATAGTTAGATATAGTTAAGTTGCAGTTGGAGTTGTAGCTGAAGTTAAAGTTAGAGTCTAAGTTAGAGTCTAAGTTGGAGTAAAAATTAAGAGTCAAAGAGGAGTCAAAGACGGGAGTTGAAAGTTGTGTAGAAATAAAAAATTATAAAAACAGTGGTTAAACGGAGTAGTGGTTAAAATTTATATAATGTACACTTAGCCAAATATAAAAAATGATCAAGCGTAGTAGCGCTGACAACAAATGTTAAAACAAATAAGTCGTGTGTGACTAAATTTAAAAGAATCCAAAGAATATAAATTATAACATAAATAAAATTAATAAAATTAAATTGTGAAATTAAACTCAAGTGTTTTCATAATAGCTAAGGACCTTTTTTAAAAATTAGCTATAAACAAGTGCAACTGAAACATTTCGTCCAAAACTTGAAATAAAGAATTCAACATTTTTGGCACACTCGCGTTTTTCCACAAAAATACACAACATAATTGGCGCAGCCGGTAGGATTAAATTAATTGAAAACAACATAATTGGCGCAGCCGGTATACACACGTTTCTATAAACATACAATATAAAACGTGCAACGTGAGACGACAACGTCACCTACCTACGTGGGAGTTTACAGCATTACAACTAATACAACACAACATAATTAATTAATTAATTGAACACAACATTAATTGGCAACACATAATAATTGGCAACCGATACACGTTTTTTTTAAAAACTAAAAGTAACAAAACGTGCAGCGAGGGACCAACACATTAAGGACAAGACAAGACCCGGATTAATAAGGAGTATCAACAAAAACACACAACAAGAAGAAAAATGGGAGAAAAAATTGTAAGTCACTAATAAGAAATATTTATAGTTAAGTTTTTAAAATAGAAAGACATTTCATTTTTTAAGAAAGACAAATCAAATCAAAATAATATTGTAATGATATAATATATATTTTTATTTTTTTTAAAAAATCAAATTTTATATGTAAATTTTCTGAATGTAAGTTTTATGTATGTAAATTTATTTCTATATGTAAGTTTTTTTTTTGAGTTCTGTTGTTCTACGTTGTTATGTGAAATTTCTTAATTTTCAAGTTTGTTCAAATATGGAGAAAAGTTGTTTTGTTTGCGATAAGCAATTCGAGGCAAAAGATTTGGAAAACCATCTAGATTCGCATAAATGGTTGTTTGAGAAAGCACATCGTATTATTAGTAAAATAGACAATACAAAAGATAAGGGAATATCTTACGAAAACATAAGCATAAAACCCAATAAAAACTGCATAAAACGACCAGTACCAAAAACAGATAAAGAGTGGGCCCGACAATATAGGCAAGAATTTAGAGAATTGTGGAATTAAACATTGTTTTTTTTTCTAAGTAATAAGTGTAATACAGAGATATGGTTTGGTATTTTCTCTTTTGATTAATTAATTATTGTTATTGGTTGAGTGGGGTCACGTAATTATTTTGTTTTTATTTCTCATAAATGGAAAAGGAAATCGAAAATTTACAACAGGAGCTTAGAGTATTTAAAAGATATTTAGAATCGGCAAGAGTACACGCTTGGGAAAAATTAATTGAACTTAATCCAGATAAGGAATTTGTTCAATTAACAAAAGATCATATTAGACATAACAGGTTAACGAGGGTTGAAGAACTTGAATACATAAAGGAAAATATAGAGAGTGTGGAAGGGATAAGGTCTAAAGAATTGGCGAACGTTATTGAAGATTTGTCAGATGCTAAAAAGGGTTTGGAACATAAGTGTAAGCAACTAAGTTCACGCACGGAAGAACTAACATCTTTATTGCAAGACGCGGAAAATCAGACAGCAATTTTGGAGAACGTTTTAAAAAACCAGGGAAAAACGGAACAGGACATCAGTATAATCTTGGACTCAGAAGGTACAGATCACATTAGGGAAAACGAGATTAAAAAGCTAACAGCACAAATTGATGATTTAAAGAAAGAACTAGCGAAGTGCGGACAAACAAAACAGTTACTGAGAACAATGGTGGAAACAAACAATAACGGAAAAAAAGTTATGGCATCGATTACGGCAATCATGGAAATAGTAACCAAGGTGGTACCGTATTTCACGGGCACAGAAGGACCCGATCTACGGAGTGAAGTACACAAGTTTATTGCGGGTTGTGAACTGGTACAACAAGCACTACCGCAAGAGGGAGCACAGTATGTCGTAAGTTGCATAAAACAAAGGTTAGTGAGTGTAGCTTACGAGAATATCGCGGGTAGACCCTTCAACACAGTAAATGAATTGTGTGAGGCGATTAAACGTACATACCTCAGGAAACGTACATTGGAACACATAAGGAATGATTTAACTTGTACCAAACAAAGACAGAATGAGTCGGCGAGTTCATTTGGAGGTAAACTGGAGGCGTTACTACATGAAGCCGAACAACTAATAAGAAATCAAGGAGGTGAGAGTGAAATTCTGTCACAGTTAGGAGAATACAGGCGACTAACAGTACGTTGTTTTATTAAGGGTTTAAAAGACAATAGTTTAAAGCATAGGTTTATTGGGTTAGAGAATGATCCTATCCAGAAACTAATTTTTATTGCAGAATCAGCCGAAGAATTATTGGGTGAATCACGTTCAAATATAAACATGTCCACCACAGAGAATCGAACAGAAATGAAATGTACGTTTTGTAAACAAGACGGACATGGATGGGCATTCTGCCCAGAAAGACAAAATACGCCATACTGTACAAATTGTGGAGTATATGGGCATGAAAATGGACCCAAATGTAGAGAACATCCTATGGAGACAGTAAAACAAGAAAAATCGGCCTGCAATTTCTGCAAGAAGACGGGACACGATACAAAGGATTGTTTCAGTAGACTAAACAAATTGTATTGTACTTCTTGTGGAGTGAGAGGACATGAACAGAATAAATTTTGTAAATTGGGACATACAGGACGTGGGAACCAAAATAACTACAGTAACGTGAGACAAGAAAGGGACTGGCAAAATCATTCAGTACCTTTAAAGCACAGTAATCCAAACTTTAACAGACCAAGTGGAAGACCTTTGAGTGCAAATCTTAGATGTTTTAGGTGCGGCAAAGAAGGACATTTTGCAAAAACTTGCAGAATAACAGTACCAAATCCGTCGGGAAACTTCAACCGGCCCAGTCTAAGACATTAGACTGGACTGCCGTAAATTCAAAAAGTAAATGTCAATTTAATTTAGGACCTGCACGAATAACTAAAAGTAACAGCAACAACAATGTTCAGAACCGATCGAATACAAATAATAAGATGAAGAATTTAGGAGCCAAAGCGGTTAATTCAAGAAATCATGGTATAATCACGATAAAACATAAGGAAGTGCAAGAAAAGTTGACCAACCAAATAGGGTTTAAAAATTCAGAGGAAAAAATTAGTTATTCGAAAAAGCCGAAATTGAATAATATAGTGTTGAGGGTGAACAAATATATGTTCAGTATTTGGACATGTATAGTTACATTACTAATTTCATATTGTTCAATACTATCGGATTACTGGAAAGAAAAATCAGA